CTATATCTCAAACGCTATTTGACTATTAAAAATATCATATGACACGCAATTTTAATTCCACGGCAAAACTGCTGCTGCGCAAATAACAAACGCGAGATTAAATATATGGCAGTATTACAGTTTAGGTATCTTTTAAATTGCTAATAGATCACACGGAAACTTTTACAATCGTTATATTCAAAAGCCTAGCGTGCAAATTCACATATTTGTGTTTATTCAAGTGTTATTCATAAATTCGCTATTTACATGGGAAGCGACGAGATATGACACGGTATTTTTCAAGTATACCGTGAAACTCCACTGACAAAATGAGCCCGCACAAGTGGGAGAAAATTTGCGCATTCTGACCATCGTGGTGTGTCTTCTTATTACTATTAAAGTTAACCAGCATGGCAGGCTTTCTGGGTTTGGAGGAGGGTTTGGGGAGTTAAAGTTTACCAGGCTAGCCACATGTACGCATTGCGTACCTATTTTTTTGAATATATAGGGAGCTGTTGTCAGCCAAAATGGCAGGACAGCATGAGAATCCGCACGATGTGTGAAAAGATTAGCGTTTCTGGTGTTGGTAACCATAGTTTTGTGTCAAAGTTGATGAACTGATGACATATATTAATTATCCAACCCAGTGAGCTCCATATATATCTGGAGTAAGAACTCAGTCATTCGGTCAATGAGAAAAGTGAAGCCAAGTGAAACCAAGATGGCGGCCATTGACGTCCAATAGCTCTGAAGGTCGTAAACAGTTTTTATACCATTTTCCCCAGCTAATTCCAGTTTTTTCTAATGGACCATATCACTAATCAAGTTTTCAGTTCATAAAATCACAATATTATTCTTTAAATCGAAGTCAAAATACGAAATTTCAACACACTCCTTGCCAAGATGGCGGAAATTGAAGGAGCTGTTGGACGTCAGTTCCAGTCCCTTTCTATTGTTTTTGTATGCGCAGTTAACACGAAACTGGCTTCACTTTGAGCAATCAAGTTCCTACTCCAGATATATATGGAGCTCACTGATCCAACCTTGCTACTTATTTGTAATAGTATCTTTGAAACCAAACTTCATTTAATATTAACTAGTACTGAATTAGTTAATTTAATATCTCGACTTCATATTACACATTGCAAATTGTGGTCGTCATATAAAAACAAAAATCGCGCGCCAAATTCGAATATAATACACGCCAAGACAGCATTCGAGGCGCATCGACGACGTTCAAGCGAGTGTTTGCGCACAACGTAGATGATAAGAAAAATTGGTATGCATACAAATTGATACAATAAGTTGCTTGTTAGTAAAACATTCAAGTGTTTTCCATCAGCGATTAAACGGGTCAAACTTGAAGACTTACGAGACAACGATGGTCGCCAAGTATCGCATCGCCGTTTCTTTGCCGGGGTGACTAAAGATGTTATCACTGGCACGACAGAGTTATGTTCTCGACGCTTGGGGCAAGTAAGGCATTCGAATCAGTCCTATCAGAGCAAAGTCGGCTGCTGTTGTCCTAAATTTTTATAATGAAATCACATCGTATTTTATGCATGAATCATTGTATATGATATTGGGGTTACGTATACAGCGCTTTATACAGCAGGTCTGTATTATCATAGTTATAATTAAACAAACCTTATTTCTGCGCGAATTTACTGACTAGAACTGGCCAGCCAAACAGTGAAATAGAATGTAATCAACAGATCGCAAACAGTACACGAAATATTTTTGTTTTTAAATCACTGTGCATGCAAACGCTAAAGCTAGCGCAAATTTGTGTTTATATTATAAAGACCAATTTAGTGGAGACTCTCGTGTTCAGAAAGATGCAGTCATCTTTTGCTGACAGGTTAAGAAGATGTAGTCATCTTTGCTTAATCAGTTGAATCTAAATTTTTATAATATAATAACACATCCTATTATGCATGAATCATTGTATATGATATTGCGGTTGCAGTTACATACGGTAGCTATATATTTTTAGGTCTGTATTATCATAGTTATAATTCAACAAGCCTTATTTTTGCGCGAATTGCACTGACTAGAACTGGCCATGCAGCCAAATGAGTAGAATGTATCTATAGCTACATGTATATCAAGAGACCGCAAACAGTACACGAAATCTTTTTGTTTTAAAATCAGTTTGCAAACGCCAAAGCTAGCGCAAATTTGTGTTTATATTATAAAGACCAATTTAGCGGAGACTCTTGTGATCAGAAAGATGCAGTCATCTTTTGCTGACAGGTTAAGAAGATGTAGTCATCTTTGCTTAATCAGTTGAACCTAATTCTTTATAATATAATAACACATCCTATTATGCATGAATCATTGCATGTAGGCTATATGAAATTGCGGTTGCAGCTATACATACGGTGGCTATTATATCCTGTATTATCATAGTTATAATTCAACAAGTCTTATTTCTGCGCGAATTTACTGACTAGAACTGGCCAGCCAAATATAGAATGTATAGCTAAATCAAGAGACCGCAAACATGCAGTACACGAAATCTTTTTGTTTTAAAATCAGTTTGCAAATGAACGCCAAAGCTAGCGCAAATTTGTGTTTATATTATAAAGACCAATTTAGCGGAGACTCTTGTGTTCAGAAAGATGCAGTCATCTTTTGCTGACAGGTTAAGAAGATGTAGTCATCTTTGCTTAATCAGTTGAACCTAATTCTTTATAATATAATAACACATCCTATATTATGCATGAATCAAATGTTGCATGTAGGCTATATGAAATTGCGGTTGCAGCTATACATACGGTAGCTATTATATCCTGTATATCATAGTTATAATTCAACAAGTCTTATTTCTGCGCGAATTTACTGACTAGAACTGGCCAGCCAAATAGAATGTATACATGTAGCTATATCAAGAGACCGCAAAGAGTACATGAAATCTTTTTGTTTAAAAATCAGTTTACAAACGCCAAAGCTAGCGCAAATTTGTGTTTATATTATAAAGACCAATTTAGCGGAAACTCTTGTGTTCAGAAAGATGCAATCATCTTTTGCTGACAGGTTAAGAAGATGTAGTCATCTTTGCTTAATCAGTTGAACCTAAATTTTTATAATGAAAACACATCCTATTATGTATGAATCATTGTATGCGATATTGCAGTTGCAGCTACATACGGTAGCTATATATTTTTAGGTCTGTATTATCATAGTTATAATCCAACAAGCCTTATTTCTGCGCGAATATTGCACTGACTAGAACTGGCCATGCAGCCAAATAGAATGTATAGCTATATCAAGAGACGGCAAACAGCACACGAAGTCTTTTTGTTTTAAAATCAGTTTGCAAACGTCAAAGCTAGCGCAAATTTGTGTTTATATTATAAAGACCAATTTAGCGGAGACTCTTGTGATCAGAAAGATGCAGTCATCTTTTGCTGACAGGTTAAGAAGATGTCAGGGGCGGATCTAGGGGTCGTCAAATCAGTCGCGCGACTGAAGTAAAAATTGCCCACTTAAAAAAAATTGACTCCAGCTATCTATAGTGGCCAGTAGATCGAGTTACTAATATTTTGAATCGTACCGGTAGTCCAGTTATACGTTTCATGCTGCGGCAGAGCTTCGGCAAAGTAATGTTAGTCAGTCACGAACAGCGGTCTTACGCATGAAAGTTGACGGATTCGGGGGTCAAATCCGGCTATCTGATTGGCTGACATGCTCATTTCCATGGTTACGGCCATTTGCGACGGATCTGTGGGGAGGCCTGACGGATTTGCAGATTCAGGGGCTCTGTATGATTGAACCATTTAAAAAAATTCTGCACTATCATTGGCTTATATTTTCGACGGATTCGCAACGTGAGGTATTCGTCAAGACCGCATTAGTGTTTACCTCTGAGTGTTTACTATTTCGAACGTTTACTATTACGGGCGATTTCTACCAGCGTTATCTGGAAACATTTTCGACAATGTTCAGTTTGCGATTGCGACAAACAATTTGGAATCTCTATACAACGTTTGTATACGGAGCTTGAAAAGAATATCGATGCCTCACGGACGAATTTTGTTGACAAGCTACTGAGCGGCGCCATCAACAACACAAGCAGAAGCCTCGCTAGAAATTTTGGCGCAGAGAGCTACTGCTAGAGAAAGACAAAGCTTGCACTGCAATAAGGTAGATAAATTTATGGTTTTATAGTGATGTATCTTTAGTTCATATTAAAGGTTTATAAACCGGAGTACCAAGCCATCGGTGTTGTTAAAGTGCCCCTGTCACAAAATGAGAGTTTACATTAATGGAATCGTCTTGAAACGTAGATTATGAAAATACAAAACAGATTTAAAATTGAGCTTGTTTTCACAGAGTAATAAGGCAATGAAATTTGAAAATTTCAAAATTTTAACGGCAAAAGTTTTTGAAAACCGCGAAGCTGGGAAATTGGTAACTAATACGTCATAGTAGGAAGACATTGCCTACTCGCCCATAAATACTAAGTGAGAATCACAATCAAGCTGGTCAAAATTCGTCGAGTTCAGATACGGAAAATAACAGTTACCAAAGCGATGACTGACTGAAATTATATTCCTGAGCCGTATGAAATTGAGTGAAATTGATGAAAACACCAGTGAAGCGTAGTCAAGCAGCGCCGATCATTCGTGCGCACGACGTTGGTCCATATGTTAATGAACCAGTGCCCGACGAAGATTGGCTCAAAAGTTACCGTGAAAAAAAGCGATCACGACGAACGTCTTAAGCAACTACAACAAAGGCTTGATAGTTCAGAAGAATTGAGTAACTGGTAAATATTTTGTTGCGTGACTTGACCTTGCGTTTCGTGACTTGCCAGTGTTTCTACATACACAGTATTCAAATTACAAAATATAATATTTCAGGTGTAAACATGGCAATTGTCGCATTGAACTGCTTCGTAAATTGTGCTAAAGAGTGTCAATGTTGTATGGAAATTGAGGAGTGCGTCGATTCTCTACACAGTAACATTGTGATTTGTGATGCAAGATGAAGTCGCGCAATCATGTATAATTCAACAGCTTATCACTAGATAAGTGAGCCCTCCGTTCAGCAGCCACGAAATTACGAACAAGAAAGAAGCAGGAATACCGTCAAACAAACACAGAAGATGGGAAAATAAAGTTTTATTTATCAACATATTGAAATTATGAAACACTTTACCTTACCCGAGTTTACTATCAGTGAACACACGCATGCCGGCATGCGGAACGGTAACTGATAGTTTATATACGGTATATGCTGTACAACTATTTAATTATTATATATTTACATGTGTCCACATGCAAGTAAGCGACTCATTAAAAAGACTTATTTATTAATTTATAGATTCTGAAGGAGCACAGCATAGAGAAACTTTGTGTAGATGGTTTATGGACAACTAGGAAATAGACATTTTTGCGCATACGAGAAAATAATGCCTGTAGGCTGCATGCTATTGATGAAGACTTTGTAGGATTTGTAGAGGACAGCTCTTGATATTATAGAATTATTTTTCAATAAATAAACCTATTACACTGTATAAGCGTAGTAATATTATACTGTATTGCGTATAGAAACAGCACATTTGCTATATTCATGACTTTATTGACTTATTACAATATTATTTTGCTAAAGAGGCTGAAATTTAAGATTAAGATTTGTATCTGATGTTTTCCTGCACTTCGTGCGCGCGGGTTAATTTGTGCAAAGTGTTGCAGCGCGTATTTTTCTGACTTGTATTTCGTTCCAGGCATGTTCCTAGCAACTGTGGCAATGACTAAGTTATTTCATTAAGTTGCTTCAATGGATTATACTTTGTAATACATTTTATACACATCCCCACAGTGTATCAAGTTTCATGCCACAATTTGTTACAAAATCTGCATATTGTACGGGTTTTCCCTGCGGTCAAATACAACGATTTTCACTTATACAATTCTACTTTACCTGTCTAATCTAAAATACAAACAGTACACATTGCTTGTAGACGTAAGAAATTGGCTTTCATCCACTATATTTAATATTTTGACAATATTCACTCATATATTGTCGCGATATTTCGCATGGTAAATCCATTGACTGTGGCTCATTAATATTTATCGCGCTTTCGAGTTTCGTGACTATGGCCATATCAACTGACTGCATTGAAGCAGCTTCTTTTACAATTTGCAGTTTCTTTTTACAATAACGAATTTGGAATAAAAATTGCACCTTGGATCTCATATTGCTCGTTTAAGGTGCACGAAGTCAACCCGTCTCCTTTTCGCTTCGTGTATCTCGTCTCCAGTAAAAGGTATAAAATGAAATGAAATGCCTTTCTCTGTATCTGTGATATTAGAACAACCGCCTACTACACATATATTCGGCAATTTGTCATTTTCGTGACTGTTATTTGCGCAATTGCCTCCTCTATGATGGTGCATGCAATAGTATTTCTACATCAGTGAGCTAGATAAGTTCCTACTATTACGTCACACGCATTGTTTCGTCCCAGTCTCTTTTGCGCGGTTTTCAGATTTTTCACAAGGCCAAATACAATGTTTAAACGGCAATAACTTTTACACTAAAAGAGCAATTTCGATTCTGTTTTCGAATTTCCGTATATTTTGTATCATAGATTTCGAAAATATAAACTCTCATTTTGTGACAGGGACACTTTAATGATTGTCTGACATATGATATTTTAATATATTCGCTATGCTGTATTGCTGTATTAGCATAATTCTCGCGTCAAGAAGCTAAAATATGTTAATATTCAATGTCTACATTGTAAGCATTTGTTGATTCTCATGTTAGTGAAGCTTTATTTAAAATTTCTTTATATTTATGCATTAATCACACAACATGTAGGCTACGCGTAACGCGTATACGTGTATTGTTTATCCATAGCCTTTCGACCTGGCTTGAACATAGACCGCATTGGTCTGATGTAACATGATGATGTGAAATATTTAATTGTAGGTAGCTTGAAAAGCTCTTTGACTGGTAGCCATTCTGATGTTACTAGTTTATTAATAGTATATTTTGTGTTCAATATATAGACCACAGTAAGACTTTATTAATAGTAAGGGTTTAGTTTATTAATATTTGACATAACATCTTTGACTTAGTTAATGAATATGTGGTTGTTTTTTGGAGCTCAGGCTACTGGCAATTACTTGTTATGTATAGTTCTGTGTTTTTGGTAACAGAACAGTATATTTCCTTAATGCATTTGCTGCCATATGATTTTAGAAGTTTTACAATGATACACTTATAAGCGTAGAGTACCAATATGACGACGATTCTTAATCCACAGGAAAACATGTTAAATTGCTGCTGAGTTTTAAAGTATTATCATCAATATATCTTTGTGCATTTGTAGTTGTTCTTACAGTGCCTGTGGATAAGAATCAAATGTTCGTTTGAGTTTATCAATTTAATCTAAATATGTTTTATAATTTGGTTAATTAGGATTT